AAGAAAGTATCTGAAATGTCCATGCAATCAGGAATGAATAAATGAATGAAATACTAAACCGGATAAACGGATATAATTTACTGACAGATGTCTTTCCTAATTTTCCTATTGATTTTCTATGATATAATAATGATATTTGCATTGATAACTGCTCAAAAATTAATTGAAAATTAAAGCAAATCTAATCTTTTTTCTATTTTAAGCACATAACAATAAATTAATTCGGTCGAAATTATTCACAAATTTTAATCAGTAATTTTCAGTAAATAATTAAATAATTGCTCGTTTTAATAAATTATCTTTCAATAAAAACAATTAATCTAAATGATTTTAAATGCAATATAAGGACGAAATTTATTGAAATATTTAAATTTGCTTATATTACTGGAAGAAATAAGATATAACATCAAAAAAACTGTCAAAATTTCAAATTTCATCAACAGCTGCTTGCTTTTTCAGACTGATATGATTAAAATGATATTACTATTATCAATGCATTTGTAAAAGAAAAGGATGAAAGGAAAGAAATTGTAATTCGAAATGTTTGTAATTTAAAAATGACAAAAAGAATATCCGACGAAAGCATTCGTCCAATAAACTTATCATTTGTGTAATGAAAAAGTTAAAGTTGACAACAACTGCTATATCTCATTTTAACTTTCTATTAAATTTGTTCTTTAAAAAAAAAAAAAATTCAAAAACAAACTATTTCTGAAATAAATGTTTTATCGAATTATCGAAATAATATTTAATGATTTTGAGTGCATTTATTCTGACTTTCTGATCAATTTTTCGAACGAATATAATTTATTTTTTAAATTTATTTATTATCATAAATAAATTTAAATCAATTTTATATAAACTTGTTTGATGGTTTTATTGGGTTAAAAAAAAAAAGGTGAAATGAATGAAATAATCAATCGAAAAGTTTAAGAAAAAAAAAATTCTGAAAATTTTTATCAACTTCTAGAAAAGTCAGACTCTTTGTGTTGCTAAAGTAACTTATTGTGATAAAGCAATGTGATAAACTAATTGTTAATTCATAAACTAATAAAAAATTCGTGATAATGATGAATAAGTGATAATGATATAAGTGATAACGACAGATAAGTGATAATGATATAAGTGATAACGACAAATAAGTGATAATGATTTCTCTTCAAATCATACAATTTTATCAAACGTTGTAAATACTGATAATACATATCAAATCACCGATAATTTATCCCAAATTAATAGCTACGTATAAATATACTACAATAAATATTTATTATTATTTATTACTCTGAGTGATAATCTATCATAAAAACTATCAAAATAATCATTTCAATCGTATTTAAGTATTGAAGTGATTATTTGATGGTATAAAAATAAAAGCAAAAAGTATCTGAGAGTGAAAAAGGAAGAAAGAAGTTTTCGGCGAGAAAATACTAACTTATTTAACTAAAATAAAAAATGAAATTCAATTTATAGTGCTAATTTAATGATTTCATATGAACTAATCATTCATTTAAATTGATTACATTTTACCACCAAATAGTTTATTAATTTAAGGATAATATACAAAATATAGTCTACAAATTTAGCAATTTATTATGAGTAACAATAAAATTTAAACTTTTTTGTTAGGCATTTAGGTAAAGTAATTTTTTTTTAACTTTTCAATTTTAAAAAAAAATTTCAAAAAATACTATGCAAATTATACATTTAGTGTTTAATTTTAATTTAATCAAAATTTAAGAATTAATTTGAAATTAATTTATGATAACTTACCTATAATGTAGCTCATGCTGAAAAAGTAATAGAGATAATGATAAATGATTAAAGTGAATGAATAAATGATAAGAAGCAATGATAAATGATAAATGATAATTCGATAGTAATGTTAGGAAGAAGTAGAAAGTATTAATTCAAATAATTACAATGATAAATGATGATGGAATGAATGTTATTTGGTAAATTGATGAGACAATTGGTTGGACAGTGTAATTGAGCGCTGTTTAACACAAACGGTGCCTTTGTGTCACTGATAAATTGGGCACATTTTAAAAATGTTAAATTAAATTAGGTTATTTTATTTTTGTCAAATGAAAATTAATCAATAATTTGAGGGACACTTTTTCTTTTTTTTTTTTTTTTTTTTAATTGAATAAATGTACTGAAATTTATATAATTTCAATTATTGCAGAGAGAGAGAGAGAGAGAGAGAAGAAAAGACAGGAATTGGATCAATAACTATCCATCAATCAATCAATCAATTAATATTTTTTGTGATCAAATTTTGAGAAAATTAAATAAATAAGCTATGAGTAAATAACTATTTTAATTAAATAAATAACTATTTTAATTGCATCTTATCATTTCAACAATAGAAAAAAAAAACCAATCTAAGAAATTAATTATCAACATGAAATATCGAATTAATGATTATTTGATCAATCGATGAATATTTAAATTTATCGATTAAATATTTAAATAATATTTTTCAATTCTTCCAACAAATAAATTAATCAATGTTAAAGGTGATAACATAAATGGTAAATAGCGGTTGATAAGCATTTCATAATTAATTCTTAAAGATTTAATAATACAAAATTTTTTATTAATTTTCATTTGTTATAATATTTTGGATAAGAAAAAAAATGCAAAGGCGATTTATCGAATTTAAAATATAATAAATTTTAGCTTTTAAAACAATTTAACACCTCTTTACTCTTTTTTTTTTTTGATTAAATTTTGCGAAGTTACTTGTTATCAGTTTGCAATAAATTCAAAATACCATCGAATAATATTATCATTTTGAAGATGAAAAGTTCATATTTTATAAGACAATTTACTTTCTTAATTTTCTAATAATTCTCAAATTAATGTTCAAACTTGAAATTAAACAAAAAATAATGAATGATTATTTGGCTGAATAAAAGTAAATCCATTTTTTGGTAATTTTAAAAAGTTAGATTATTCAATATTTATTATATATGCAAATAAATTCTTTAGTTCTGCACAATTTTTTTTTTCACATATAAGAAATTTTTTTATTTCTTCAAAAAAAAAGAAAATTTGAATATTTTATTTACATTTTATTTATTTTTTAAAAGAGAAAAGAAATTAGCTGATATATTTGATATAAAAATTTTAGTAAAATCATTGCTAATTTAATTCAAAAAAAAAATAAATATTAAAAATTAGTTTTCTTTTTTTTTTTCAAAATTGGATGAGCTTTTTTTTAAATATTAAATATTAAAATATATAAAATGTTACATATTAAAATATAAATTATGCATATTTGCATCATTTAATGAAAAATAATTTGCATAATTTTGCAGACATCTGCAAACTACAACTACAGCACTGCATGCACATGCATGCACGCATATATCAAATAAATATTGCAATCGTTTTTCTTTATCAGTAATTCGTTATCACTATTGCATTCCATCAATTTACTGCAATAAAATGTTAAATGAAAATAAAATTTAATGCGAAAGGTTGAATGATATCATTTGACAAGGACATTTGATAATCGATGATGACAATGACACCGAATTTCTGTTTCAAAATTTTAGTTTACAACTTTTCTTGTATCCTCGTTAGCAGTTAACATTGATTCTTATCGATAATCTGATGCATCGAATGATGTTAACAATTATAAAATCAGTTAAAATTCGAAAGTTAATAAATTCCTGATCAAGAAAATTATCATAAATCACAGTAAATAATTACAGCAAATCAAACTTATCAAAATTGTTAAAGTATTTTTGATTTATCTAACATCATAGCATATTTGGTAGACGAAAGTAATCACTTTTCATTATTTTAAATCAACCTTTTACAACTTTATTATTACTTTTTTTATCTTCAATTGAAAACACTTAAATTTGTATGAGAGAGAGAGAGAGAGAAGGAAAGTAGAAATATTATGATAAGAGAGTGATAAGAAGATATATGTTGAAGATATCATGGTCACTGATAACACAGGAATGAAGGATTATTTGATGAATTTAATCTCTTTTGTTTCTATTTTCTCTAAATTTCATTTCCTTTCATTGTATTATTTTCATTTCTTAATTTTTTTCTCCATTTTATGAATTTTTTTAAAGTTTTTTAAGGATATTTTAACGATTTTATTTTTAAAATTTTAAGCATAAAATTAATAATAATAAACAGAAATTAAATTACTTCTTTTAGTGCAAAATAAGAGTGATAACTTTTATAATTTTGTAAATTTTTTAATTCCACTGATTAAATTATAAACGAATTCACATTCAAACTTTTTTAAAAAGAAGGTTGAAAAAAATAAACTTAGCTTTTTTTAAAGTAACAATTTTATCTCATAATTAATTATCAACACATATTGTTAGTGATATTTTCTTTTCACTAAGTAACTGATCATACTTGTTTACTAAAGTTGATTTTTTTAAATATGCTTTCTTGAAATTTTTTTTTTTAGTTTTATTTTAATTGCATACATTTTTATTTTTGCTGCAATTTTTATTTTGCACTAAATCTATTTTTGGTTGTAATATTATCAAAAATAGAATTCTTATTAATTTAAATATTTTTATTATTATTATAAATTAGCCATACGCATTTATTCTTTTCAGTTATTTCCTACTAATCTAATTTTTAAAATATTCACATATGCGTGCAAAATAATATTTATTAGATTTACTTCATTTCTTCTTTTTTTTTTTCTTAATGCTAAATTCAATTATATTTGTAAACCAAAATACAAACCCAATGCATAAACGAAAATAATTTCATTTATGAAAACAAATAAATATTTTATGAATTAAAATTGATAAAATCAATAAAAAAAATTTGCAGGAATGAAATCAGTTCTAATTAATATTTACAATTTCAAATAAACATTAATGGCATTAATTCTTCGATGTTTATTTCATTCATTCTATATGCCATATCAATTACACTTCAATTTTCTTCCTCTAATTAAATTATTTTTCAAAATTTGCATAATACTAGTTGGATTACTCTATGCAATGGCACTTTATTATCGTACCACCAATATATGGACATTAAAAAATATTGGTGATGCATTTTTATCACGAAGAAATCCATCTCGATTAATTATCATTGGTGCATTTTATCGAAATCAATTGGAACAAAATATCCCAGGAAATTATGTGGTCAATTGTTTTAACATTTATAATTTGAAAAAAAAAAAAAAAATAAAATAAACAATAATTATTGACTTGTTTATATTTGCTAAAGCTATTTGCATTTTTGAACTAGCTTTTGACAAATAATAGCAGTAATAATAATAATTTTCAAATAAGATTGTAATTGCTTTTATTAATTTAAATTTAGGTAATTCAATTTCTTGGTGATGTACAACAAACATATCGTTTGTATTGCTTTTCAACAACACAAAATGGTAAACAATTTGTTTACCAAGCTCACATTCAACGAATACATCAAGGGAAGCGATTTGTAAACAATATTTGTTCAATGGCTGGTTTTATTGCTGAATGTCGCGTTACAAGTCAATTCTTGCCGTTTGTACAGTAAGTACTTTCTTTAATTTGCAAAAAATGATTGTTGTTTAATGTAAATTAAAAATATCAATCAAAATGTATGCTTATCACTTCAATTATCATAATATTATCATATCATTAATTTTAATAAACATTTACTGGCAATTCTTTTATTAAAAAATATTTTTAAATATGTTTAAAAGTTTTTATGTTATAATACAATTTTAAAATTAAAAACTTAAAAGCATATACAGTTGAAATATATTTTGAGTTAATTCGCTTGAAATTTTAACTATTTTTTTTTTCTCGAAAATGTTATCGAATAATTAAATTATATATATATGTAATTAGGAAATTATTAATTCTGACAACGATATTTAATATATATGTAAAGCATTCATTAATAATGTTCACAATTGAAATTGTTTATTTTATTTTAAAAAATTTCAAATTTGCAAATGTTAATAGTTTTTATTAATTAAATGTTTTAAATGATACAAATGCATTTCAAAGTTTAATTTTTCAATCATTTTTCCATTGTTATTGTTTCTTTTTTTCAGAGTTATCATTTGAAATTTAATTCAAAAAAAAAATTAAATTATAGAATAAGTACGAAACGTAATGTAAATGAATCACTTAAATTACCAATTGAAAAGATATTCGAGAAGAAACGACACAAACTGGTAGTTTGCATGGCGCCAACATATGCGCTTATGGAATGGCGCATATTGCTTCTTGGCATTGAATTATGGCTTGCACTTGGCGCCAGCAAAATTATCATTCCTATTCAATCCATTTCGAAAGATGCATTTGACATATTGCAGGAATATGAAAAAGCTGGTTTCTTCTTTTATTTTATTAATGTTTTTTATCATATCTCTGCCAATTTAACTGATAAGTGATAACTGATAGGTGATAACTGATAAGTGATAGGTGATAGCTGCCTATCCAATTCATTTCGAAAGATGCACTTGATATATTGCAAAGATATGAATGAGCTCGTTTCTTCATTTATTAATGTTTTCTTATCATACCTATGTCAATTTAACTGATAAGTGAAAACTGATAAGTGATAACTGAATGAGTGATAATAAAAGAAAATTTTTTGTTCCAATTTTTTGTTTTGAAGCAATATGCGCCATCAGTGAATAAAGTAATTTTTTTATAATGATTTTTTATTAAGTATATTTTTATTAAATTTTTTATAAGTGATTTTATTAAGTATATTTTTTTTATTAAGTATATTTTTATTAAGTATATTTTTTTATTAAGTATATTTTCTTATTAAGTATATTTTTATTAAGTATATTTTTTTATTAAGTATTTTTTTTATTAAGTGATTTTTTATTAAATTATTAAGTATATTAAGTATATATTTTATTAAGTATATTTTTTATAATTGATTTTTTATTAAGTATATATTAAGTATTTTTTATTCAGTATTTTTTTTTATTAAGTATGAATAAAGATACAGTTTGATGCATTCCTTTCATTTTGATTTAAAAAAAAAAAAAAATTGTTGAAAAATTCAAAATTTTCAGGGTTAGTCGTTTTACGTCATTGGCCGAAATGGCCTTTATTATCAGATAAAAATCCAAATGGTTTAGTCTTATCAAGAGGTAAAATATTTAATCTTGTTATAATTGAATTTGCAAATAAAAATAATATAAAATTAAACCTTCATAATTTTTTAAATAAATAAAATTTCATAAAAGATTTGTGAAATTTTTTGAATTATTTTCTATTGATGTATGCAAATATTGATTGATCTTTTTTATTGTTAATTGAAATAGTTTTTTGCATTTTTATTTTTTCATTTTTTTTTCTGCAGGAATTGAGGAATCTCATGTGAATTGTTTATTTTTTGCTAAGCCATGGGCTGAAATGGTAGCATTCACAGATTTGGATGATATTTTAATTCCAACACAACCATTAAAGGTTTATTCAACTGCCAATATTGATATATTACAGGTTAGTAGTGTACCGGAAATTATCAAATAACACACTACAATCAAAGTATTTAACTCTTTGTTTTAATTTCACTTAAATTTTAATTCCTTATATATAAGCAAAAAGTTAAATTAAATTTTTGTTTTAAAAACTTTGAAAAATTAAAACAAAATTTGAAAACTCGAAATCTGCATTTAACTGATTAAATTACTAACGAATTTGCATTGAATTTTATTAAAATGAAACATAAAGTGAAGATAATTATTCGTGAAATAAAATCAATTTTATCTTAAAATTTTATGCTTTTAGAATCTTTCAAATGAGCATCCACAAGCTGGATCTTTCCTGTTTGAGCACCGTGACGTACGAATGGTACTACCCAAAGATAAACCAATGTCACCGTTGGACAATTTTAATTTCAATTTTTTAATTAATGCTAATAAGAAGAAAAAATGTACAGTATGGCGTATGAAAACACGAGTTATTGTGAATGCAAGTAAATTTTGGACTTCTTTTCACCCTTAAATTTGCTCCGAATTTCATAAATTTATGAATCTCTATGCTTTGTTAATTGTAAACAAATAAGCATCATTTGTTTATTTTGAAAAATTCATCGATAACTCAAAAATTCAAACTCAAATAACAAATTTTTCAAAAATAAATGAAATAATTGATTAAAAGAGAAAATAATTTGTTTGAGTTAATTCCATTTAACAATTTAAAGTATTGAGTGTACCGTACGTGAATAAATGTTATAATTACGTAAGAGAAATCTTTTGCACGTGAAATTTCATTGATAAAAATATAATATTTTAAATTAGTCGCATATTACTATATAACACTATTTATTAATTATGTGAAAGTAATAATTTAATGATAGTAATTTCAGGTCGCGTGGATACTATCAATATGCATGAAAGTGGAATTAATCGCTTTGGTTACGTACAAGTATATTGGAAAGAATTATAAAATTGAAGAAAAAATTACTTTCCAATCATTTCTTATCATTTTATCAACTTTAATACTTAATTTATCAGTTTTGCCAATTTTTTTGAAATGTAATTTTCTAGAAAAAAAAAAAAAGTGATACTACTCATTAATTATATGTAAGTAACAATTTGATGAAGTAAATTCAGGTTCGAATTCCGTGTCATCAAGCACATTTCTACCATATGCGACATTCGTTTCGAGAACAAACAACAGGGCAATTTATAGATATGAATAATTTAGTACAATTGCTAAATAAGTAAACATTTACTTCCTTCTAATTTAATTTTTTTCTCTCTCTCTCTCTTTCAAATAAATTTAAAATTGTTGAAAGTTCTTTTATGTTTTAAAAATTTTTTAGAGATATAATAAAAATGGTAAAAAAAAAATCCGGAAATGTTTTAAAAAAAGTTAAAGTTAATTAGTTTTAATTAATTTGGTAGATCAGGCGCAATAATTTTAATTTATTCGATCAGATTAATTTTAATTTGTTAAAAATTCTTCAGGAATATACGGTATTGAAGAAGATAATATCAGGTAAGCAAGTAAAGAATGCACTAGCAAAAACATTTCTCATAAGTTTCTCATAAAGTTCAGTGAAGTGAATTTTATGCATTTCAATTTTTAGCTAATATAATTACTTTAAAAAAAAAAAAAAACAATAATTAATTAATTTTTAGGAATTTTCAAAAACGACTCAAAACAACGCTTCGATTCATTGCAAAACAGCAATTGAATAGTTCTTTGACTGAAACATTGGATGATTTTGATAAATGTATAATTGAAATTAACAAAGAGCACTTTAAACTAAAAGTATCACGTTGCATGACACCTCACGTTTGCTACCTGAAATTGAAAAGGTTAAACTGTTTTTAGCTACTGTAGGTAGAAACACTGAGAGTAATTATCTTTCTTTTAACATCATTAAAAGTGATTATCAAATATTTTTCTGAGTATATCCGGAAAAACTAAAAATTTCAGTTTTGAATTTCCATAGATATAGCTTTGACATACTGAAATTCTTGTTTATCTTTTAGCTACTTATGAAACATCTCTAGCATTTCCTTGAATGAACTAAAATTAAATTAATTAAATTAGACAAATTTAGGAAGGATGAAATAATTTGTTCTCAATCATGTCCGATTCATATATCAAAATTATTTAATTATTAATTTACAATTCATTACTTAATTATGTATTTACTGCAACATTTAAATTTTCTAAGTAATTTCTTATAATGGAAATGATTTTGTTTTAGCAAGAAATTGAATATATATATTTTTTTTAGTGAAGTTAAATGCATAGCTTCAGTTGGAAGTTACGAATTTGCATATGCATCTGGCGATTTCATCCTGCGATTAATGAGTGCTCGATTTATGGACAGTGACCAAAACTGTGATGCACCAATTTCAAAAATTATTAAAGGCAATTATTTTTATGCTCCATAATTTAATTATTCAATAAGAACAAAATAGATTTCATGTTATGCTGATGTATTGTTTGTGGTTAAATTATTTGCTAAAAATTTAATGTGAAAAATGAAATTTTACGATGAATTAAAATCAATGAAAAACTTTCAATTCATTTGTGCCTTTCATTGTAAAGTTAAAAATAATTAAGAATTAACTGACTTGCAACTGTAATTAACCTTTCCAACACCATTTTCATATATTAAAATTGCTAAATGATATGCATATGGTACAGTATGCACCGATGTAAATTACAGTAAGAATATACAGTAGACACAGGTACTGTATTCATGTTGAAACTTTTGAAAAGAGGTGACAGTTGATGACATAGTGAATTGATTACATTGCTAATGTATTTGTTGTTTTTTTTTTTTATAATAGAAATTGTTATTTTAAAAATTGATTTAAATGAATAAAACTGTTAAATTCATTATTTCAAATTTGCTTTTGATTTACTTTTAGCTATAGTTTTAAGTTTTCTGATACAATTAGTGTTATTATTTACCACAATATTTCATAAAATGAACTCATTGCAATAGTTTTGTAATCGTTATCAGAAATGAAATACTTTTGGACTGAGAGAAGTGATAAGTGAATAGGAATGGATATTTAATATTTGGTTTTAAAATTACAATATTGTATTGATGAGCGTTTTGTTATCTTTATGAATGTACTAATGGCGGATAATCATCTTTCCGGATTATAGCAAGATGAATTTGTCAGTGGAAAGATAAATTGCTGAAGATAAAAGGGAAAGAGAGAGAGAGGGAGAGAGAGAGGAGGTCTGAAAAGATAAGGATGAGGCTACTTTGGGACTTAGGATGGATACAACTTTGACAACAAATATTGCTAAAATTATAAAGCTATTAAAGCTTTACTTCCTTTTTATTTCAATCTATACTCTTTCAATTCCTTCCAATAGTGTTATATTTTGATGGGCCAAATTGTCTTGGCCAAGTAGTCTAACGCTATGTCACATAATTCATGCTTTATAATTTTTTACAACTTGAAAAACACAAATAAGTATGTGAAACAGTAGGATGAAAAAGAGATTGCAAAAGAAGTGAAAGTAAACATAAATGGCCTATGGCCTATAGATGAAGAAGAGAAAATTTGTAAGTTTAGGAAGAAAATTTGGATGAATTTAGAATGGAGTGGTAATGCGTTGTTTGTGAGAATAACAAAATGACAAGATGCTATGTTGCGCCTATCTAAATTTATTCTATCCCATACAACATAGCCTAAACTTGGCCAACCAATTGCATTGTAAACGAGACTAAGCCAAGAATGCCAATCCCTCATCCGTTGATATAAGCTTATTCGTTTTCTTCTTTAAAACTAAAACAGATAACGACAACAACCATATAACGAAACAATAACCATCGAATTTTTCACATCTTTTCTTCATTTCATTCAATTCTCTCTGTTCCTTCTTTTCATTTCTATTCTTATAAATTAATCATAAAAAATAAAAAAAAAAAAAAAACGCTATGAACTTTGATCATATTTATTTCAAAAAAAAATTTCAAAAATCAAATTTAACATTTTTTTTTTTCTTTTTTTTTAGCACAATCAAAACTTTTTCTTTTCCATTATTTTATACAAATTTTAACAATAAATTGGAATTATTTTGTCGCTTAAATATTTTTTTTGGGGGTGCGCATGTTACGCACCCATTGGAAATGCGTGACGAAATTCGATCATGCTGTTTACGAATTATCAAATTCCTACGAAAGGTATCTTTTCAAATTTTTAATTTGCTAAATTCAATTTAAATTATATCACGCAAAGAAATAATTAGCATTATTTTTAATTTCTATTTATTTATAATATCAAAATTTAAGTTTTGAATGAAATAACACATTACATATTATCTTCAATAATGCGATAGATTTAATTTAATTTAACTTTTTTTTTTTTTTGTTAACGAATTGAAGATAAGAAATAAGAATGATTTAATGGTGAATAAATTATAGTAAAATAATTCTTTTTTCGAATTGTAAATTTACAGCAAAATTTTTTAGTTGATATTAAGAATCAGTAAAATAAATGAGAATGAATTTTTGATTCATTTTTTAAAGGTTTATAAAATATTTTTGTTATTGCATCAAAGATTGTTATTTTAGTTTCCATTTCCATTCGTATATCCAATCTAAACTAATTTTTTTTTTTTTTTTTGCTTTATTAAATTCAAAATTGACAAGATTATATGAAGAAAATAATTTCTTAGGTCTTTGCTTCAAACAAACAAAAAAAAAAAACGAAACTGAATTTATTAATTTCTTATAGTTTATTGGATTTACCATTTCGCATATTGGATTGTGCGCATTAGTCGCTGCATACGCTGTTCTCGGAGCATTTATGTTTCGTGAAATTGAATATCCGGAAGAATTGAAATTTCAGGGACATATAGAAAATGATACATGGACGGCAAGTTTGTTGAAATATTTGTTAAATTCCTATTTTAATTTTGTTTATCTTTTTCATAATTGAAAATGGACTTTCTGAATTTTGAATTACTTATCCAAAAAGTTGTAAATGTATGAATCGTAATAATTTGATTATAAGTTAAATCTTTTTTCTGAGACTAAAATTGGTATATGATAATTTTAAGGTAATGAAAGGATAAATCATAATTCGTTTTCCGTTGTTTCTAATTTGAAATGGGTGGGAAAAAATTCATTTTTAATTAATTAATAATTACTGAAGAAACATTACTTTTTAAAGTAGTTGAAAAAAAAAATGTTACGACATAAATTAAAAAGTGAAGTTTTAAATCTTTTGAACTTATCGGACAATCTTCCCAAAAATTGTAACTTTAAATAATCAACAAATTTCCTATTTTCATAACTTTCATATTTAGTAAATCAGCTATTCAATAATTTGTTGAAGAATTATATTCAAAAATTCTTCCTTAGATTTTACTCCTTTTCAGCCATAAATCAATTTAAATCTCCCTCAGAGACAATTTGCGCATTTATTTTCTTTTTTATCTTTAAAAAAAAAAAAAAAGATTTTTTTTTATTCTGTTGAAAACAATTGCTAATGATAGTAAAACTTCGTCGCTAACTTTTCATCTCATATAATGAAATTTGTTCCATCGTTAATTTCATACAATTTTATAAATTCCCAAAAATAAAAAGCTTAACATAGGTTATTACATTTTATAAAAATTGTCTCAAATTTGTTTTGAAATTCTCAAATCTTGTTCAGAGATTTGAAAAAAAAAATATACATATCAAAGAGATCAGCAAATTGCAATAAGCACACAAATTAAAATTTTAATTGTTAGTTCATCATCCTTTGCTTTTTTTTTTTTTTTTTTTAAATTTATAATATCAAATAATCAACTATCTAATTTAATTTCTTTCTTTTGAATCAAATAAAACTTTGAAAGATTTTCTCAAAAGCTTTCATAATTAATCGAACTTTCTTTTTCACAATTTCCTTTTTTTTTTCTATGCTTTAAGGCTATTTTGTGTTGTAAATGCAATAAAACTGAGAGTTAAATTTAATTCTGACCAATTGCATAATTAAATTACATTTGTCAAAATTTTTTGCTAATATTATTTTGTTTTAAATTTAGTTAAAATGAATAAAACTTTTGCAATTTTATCCAATTTTAGATTAATTTCTTTAAAATATATTCAATCATTACTTCTCAATAATTTTATTAAAACTTTTATTTGTTTATTAAGTTTTTTTTTTTTTATTTTATAAGAATAAATTTAATCGTGATTTTATCTTCATCTTAACATTATTCTTTTCATTTCAGGTAGTAAACGAACTGTACAGGTTTATCGATTCAAGTGATGTGATCGAAGAAGCGGAAGTGAAAAACAAAGCACATCAGTTGCTCAAAGTTTTTGAATTACAACTTGTTAATGCTATCAATTTTGAAGGTTACAAATTTTAAACAATTAAATTTTCTCTCAAAATAATATGAAATTTTTGAAATTAATTACTTATTGAATTATTAGCTTAATTTTAAGGTTATGATGATAAAGATGTGATAACACCAAATTATCAATGGACATTTTCTGGTGCTTTATTATTTTCAATAACTGTTTTCACAACTATCGGTAAGTTTTTTTTTTTTTTCATTTATAATTAAATATTTTATTGTAATTTCATTTCTGTCACTACATCAATTAATCATTAAAAATTTATAAATAATAGTTGCTTGGATAAAAATAATTACCAATTAAGGAAATAAATAAGAAATGATCAAATTAATTTTCTATCCAAACTTGATTCGTAAATATTTTTCCAATTTGATGAATAGCCGTAAGTGTAAGTTAACTGTAAAAATTTATGGAAATTTATTTGAGTTTGAAATAAAACAACTATCAAACTTTACTAGACAAAATTGACATAGGTGACATGGTGACATATTAGCATTACTTTTGTTTGGTACATTTATTTTTTCTTGAAGCTTAAAAAAAAAAAAAAGGAATTACTATTTTTGAGTTACAAATAAAGTAACAGAATGTTAGTCTTTCATTTTTTTTTTAAAAAAAAAAAAAAGTTATTTGTGAAAGAATTCAGCTTCTCTATGAAATTTAAGAGTTTTTGACTACATAAGCAACATAATATGACATATTTGCATTTTTTTTTTTTCAAATTTTACAACTGTCCATGTTGAAATTTAAATTTGGGAGTGAAAAGAAAAAAGGGAAAAAATTTTTAGGGTATGGGCATATCTGCCCAAAAACGCCTTTGGGACGTGGTATGACAATGTTATATGCAATGATTGGTATACCTCTCATGTTGCTCTGTTTGGCAAATATTGCCGAAAGCCTTGCTCAGGTAGTAATAATTATAATTATTAAACTTTTAAAGTAACTTTTTTTGAAATTAAAATAACAATTTACAAGTGAATTTGCATAATTCCCTATTCATTAAATTATCATAATTATCTAAAAGCAATATGAAATATTCAGTGGAATGAAAAGTTTAAAAATAATTAATTTTTCTTTTCATTTGAGAGAGATTTGGAATTTACTGACTATATGATAACAATGATTTATTCCATTTTTTTTTTCTTTTTATTAAAATAAAAGTAAAAATTTAAAAATTATATAATCTTATCAAAAATAAATAATTTTCAAAGTTTCATTTCATTCCATTTTAACAGACACAATTTTGTCTCATACATATTTTATTTTACTCTCTTCTATGTTTATTAATAATTATCCAAAATTAATAAGAATAGCTGTCGATGAGAATGAAAAGTTTAAATGAGATTTATTGGAAAGGAATAAGTTAACAGTCTCGAAAAGAAGTTTATTTATGCAATTTCAAATATTTATCTTAAAAAGAAAAATTAGTTCTCTTAAATAGTAGCAAAGAATTTGAAAGAAAAATATCATAGAATAAGTTATAATTACTGTAATTGTCTAAAGTAATCACTATTTTGTACTAAGATAAAAATCACTAAAATCATTTGAAATGATTATCATTTCATCAGGTGATATATTTATTGAAATATTTATTACAATTATCATTTGATAAAATTTATTGCAGGTGTTTACATTTGTATATTTCAAAGTGTGCTGCGCATATTGTCGCTGGCAACAAAATCGCCGTCGCATTTGTCGCTCAGCGATCAGTTTTCGCTATCATCCTAATGCGCCAATAAATGCTAGAAGAGGTTAATTTCTTTTTCTTCTATCTTATTTTTCAATTTGAATACACTAATGTTTTTACTAAATTTACTTATTAATTTTAATTTGAAAATAAAAAAATTAATTTTATTTTTCTTTTTAACTGAAATTAGAAATTATCGATTTTATAATGAACTAAATGAACAAATTTTATTGAACCAAAAGCTATGAATCGTTTAATTTGATAAATTTTCAAATTTCATTATTTGAAATTTATTTATATTAAATAAAATAAATTTTATTCTCGCATATAAAATCTGAACAATAGTAATATATTATAAATTTTAACCATAGTAAATAATAATAAATACTTAGTTCCACCAAATCGCTACAATCAACGTTATCCTGGAATTCGTCGACACGGAAGTTTGACACGAATACACGGAACACGTATGAAGAGTACTTTTAGTGATTCGAAAAGTATTCGTAGCTCACGAAGCTTTAACAACAAATTTGATACAGTTTCATTACCAGGACGTCGAAATTTCGCTGCTCATAACGTTCGAACAACTTATGATATCAATCATAAGTAAATTATTTCATAAAAATTTGTCAAAAAAAAAAATAGATGACAAAATTATTACTTAAAAACATTTGAAAATTCTGCTTTTTTTTGTTTTGCAAAGGTATAATTTTAAAAAAGTATCTAATTTTAATTTTTTTAAATTTTTTTTTTTAAATTTTATTTAAAACAAATTTGTGAATAAAAATGAAAAAATTTTTAAATGATTGTAGAAAAGTATACAAATGATTATTTATTTCACTACTGTTTTCAGTGATTTATCATTGAATAAAATTGATGAAATAAATTTTTGACGTGAAATACGAGCATTTCAACGTGAAATACGAGCATTTCAGACTGTCACTAAGGAAGTGCACGGGAATAGCAGCAGCAAGTCGTATCCGTTCAAATGAAATTTCATTACGTGACTCATCACTTCATAGTATCGGTGAATCAAAGCAAAAACATGGCTTTTGTAGCTTATCACCGAGATCTGCCACTGAACGTCCATACGTTTATTCCAAAGGTATAAATTCATTCATTTTTAAATTACAATTGAAATTATTAAAAATGAAATTTTCGTATATTTAAAATATGACAATTTGAATTTAGCATGCAAATGTCTGAAATATTTCATTGACAAAATACTTTAAAATTTAGATAACGAAATATTAATCAGTGATAATTCTTAAACTAATAAATTATTTAGCTTTTATTTGTTGCATTTACTAAATTTATGCATTTTTTAAGTTTCATTTCAATTATTTATTATATTGTTAAAATGAAAACAAACATATTATTTGGAAATATTAATTTTTTATTACCACCGTTCTTTCGTTATGAGGAAAAAAATTATTTCAAACATTTTTTAAATTTGATTGCTCAAAATTTTAAGTTTTGCAGTAAAATTTTAATTCTGTATTTATACGCTTTTTACAAATAAGCAATAAATACAGTACCATTCTTTTGAGTAATAATTCGATTTTAAATTAATTAATTCGAAATTAATTCATCACATTAAATTTGCTTAATTCATTGCATCATTGCATTAATGAATGCTCTGATTTTATTTAAGAAAAAAAGAAAAAGAATGAAAAATTAGAATATTTTGAGGTGGTATACCAGTACGTTATCAAAATGACGGCAAATCACGTGGTACCTTCGTTGAAATTAAAAATTACGTCCGTGGTACCACGGCTGGAACATCAAATAATTTACATTCCAATGTCACCGGTCACATTTCTGTGCCACAACTTAGGTTTATCATTCAAAATTTTTGAATTTCTAATTTACAAAAATTTTTTCTCTTTTATTTCTTTTTCTAAATTAATTGAATTACTCCCAAAATATAAACATTTGGTATTATGAAGTATTAATATAAAACGCTTACTTAAATGATAGTAGGAATTATTTAATTTCTTGTTTAACTTTAGAAAAATATCCAAATAGCTTGACCTTTTAATTAGACAAATGATAATTAATTGATAAGAGAAATAATCATTTATCATCGGTGAACTTTGAATTATTATTATTACTTATTATTGTTAGAGCTAAAGCTCGATTAAAAGAAGAAAAGGAAAAGGATACGTCAACAGTTACGCAATCACGGATTATCTCTAAGTAAACTTTTATTTCAATTTTTTTTTTTTTTTAAAAACACTGCTTGGTATCACTTTAATTCTAAAATTATTAATGTTGCAAGTGCAGAAAGATTGATAATATCAATAATTTTTACTGTTCTGAGATAACTTATTGAATTATAACTTTGAAAATTAGTTTGTCTTGAATAACTGAAAATCTTGAAAGTTATAATAAAATTTACTAATATTTGAGTATTAAAATACCTAACGAATGTGAAATTTGTTACCAATCATCAAATGCATTAACAGAAATCGTTGAATTTTGTTATCAAAATATATTATCATTAATTGATCTTTCTGGAAGTTGAAAAAAAAAAAAAATAAAAATTAAATTTTCTATTTTCAGTCAACGTTCAAGTAATTCAAATAGTAAAGAAAGTGATTCTATAATTCTACCACAGATTACACTCAATGATAATGAAACTAATCATCAGGTCACCTTTTCTCATTTAAATAAATAAAACATATATGTCATCAAAATGCTATGTGACATTTTGCTATGACAATTGAATGCATTTTAGAATAAACAAAATTGAATAGATTTTTATTTTTAAATTCAATCATATTTATTTACTTATCTAAATTAAATATTATATGATATATGCAATAGTTTACACATTTGTTTTCGCTAAAATTTGATTCAAATAAATTTTGACATTTTTTTTTTCTTTTTAATTACTCCTTAATCGATTTCTTTATCAATAAAATTTATTATAAACAAATGTGAGTTTTAATGGCTGAATAAATTTTAATATTTTTTACAAAATTATCATAAAAAAAAAAAAAAAAATTGTTAATTGTAGAGACGAAGTTCAAATAGTACTGAACAAACAAGTGCTACAGCAACAATTAAGGAACAAGAACAAGCAGAAGGTATTCTTTTTTTTTTTTTTTGCTTTTGCTTTTGCTTTTGCTTTTTCATTTTAATCTTATCTTTATGACAGTTTAATGCTAATTTTTTTGATGATTATTTTGCAAAAAATTGACACTGTTGACAATGTGACATAAATGAATTGTTTTAAATTGAAATATTAAACTTAATTTTATGATAATTTTAATAGATAATAAATTAATTATTGATGTGATTTGTATTTTAGCGGCTGAGAAATTAAATTCAGTAGCGTCATCTTCACAAGAATTAACCCAACAACGATCATCAACAGGTGTTATTATTGAACGTTTAGTAAGGAGAAATAAGACTTCATCAGTGGACAGTTCTCTTTTAAAAAGGTAATTTTAAATGATTGTTTCAAGCAAAAATAGTAGTTGCAATGTGTATTGACAAATTATACCTCTTAAAATATAATTTAACCAATACTTTTGCATATTTTCTTTGTAATTTTTGTGAAAATTTGCAAATGAAATTAGAAAAGTTCAATGAGAGATAAATGTTTTACTTTTCAATAGATCTATTGCTAATAATAATGAAATTAAAAAATAAAACTCTCAAAAATGAGTTCATTTTTCTTCTTCTTTCTTTTTTTGCTTTTTTTTTTTTGGAATTCGCCAAGAAATGTTGGATAGTCGATCGTTCCGTAGTGCGGGAAGTGAACGATCCGATGAAATGTCACTACGATCAATTAGACGTGCAGGTATGCCGTACAGACGTGAAAAAATGCCCGTTTCGGTTGGAATAATCACGGTGATTTTATTTATTGCTGGTGGCGCTATTTTATTTGCTATTTGGGAAGATTGGAATCTTTTTGATGGCGCATACTACTCATTTATTACTTTAAGGTAAAGTTAATAGTAAAGTGATAGATGATAATATCGATTTATCATTTATCATTATTTGATTTCATTCAAATAAATAATTTTGTGATAAATGACTATAAAATTAAAATCATTCTATAGATATTATAACGTAACATTATGATTTTTTGTTTCTGAATAGAAAAACAAATTATTCTATTTGAATATTATCACTTTTGTTTTGTTTATCATTTAACGGATAATAGTAATTTCCGGATTATAATATATCAGATTACTGATTGTTCTTTTATATAGGCAATATTTATATATTGCAGTGAAATTAAATAATCTAACAAAATTTGTTACTAAATATTTTTAATAAAAATGTAATGCATATTTATAAATTTTCAAAAAAAAAAAAATATATGAATTCAAAATTTTGTATATTTCTCACACAAATTGGATCATTTTTAATTTGTAGTACAATTGGTTTTGGTGATATAGTACCTGGACAAAGTCTCGGTGAAGGATCACAAGAAAAGCTAATTGTTTGCGCATTATATTTGTTATTTGGTATGGCGCTAATTGCAATGTGTTTCAAATTGATGCAAGATGATGTCGTTCAGAAAGCACGTTGGTTGGGACATAAAATTGGAATTCTTGGTATGGTATTTTAGCTGTAAATTTTAAATAATTTCATTCTGAGAGAATTTAAGTGGTAAACAAAAAAAAAAAAAAAATGAATGAAAATGAACAGTAGTAGTAGTCGCAGTAGTAGTTGGTGTGATTTTGTTTTTTTGTTTTTTTTTTTTCGTTTTTGTTTGTGACAGGTAAATTTCTTTGTCACGTACGTAGTTTGTCACGTAGTTCGTTCTTCACCAAAAGATGCACTTATTATAGCAGCTTTACTATGCTTCTTATCACGTCTCCAGGAAAACAAAATGAAACGTCGCGGTTGGGTGACATCTTAACATCACCTATACTGCGCATTCTCGAATTGCAATCCAATATTGCACAGCCACGAGTTCAAGCAAGTCTGCTTTTTTTATTCATTTTCATTTTGCATTTCTTTTTTTTTTTTCATTTTTGCATAGCTTTTTTTTTTTTTAGCTTACGCACGCCATTTTCATTTCAATGAATTTTATTGAAATGAAAAAAAAAAAAAAAGTTTGCAAATTTTTGTTAATTCATTTATGCTACAGAAAGAAATTATGGAATAATAATTTAAATTTAATTTCAAATGTTGCCAATTTACTATAATATTTATTTGATAGGCAAAAATTTGCAAAATATTATTTAAAATGCTTGCTTTCAACTGTGTTCAAAAAAGTGATAACATATTTAGTTATCATTAGGTTGAATTAATTTTAAATCGATCAATCAATTAAAGTATATCTCCGAGCATTTAAAATGTATCTTCAGATTCAGTTCGATTGATTAAAATATGCTTTTTGAATTTCTTGCTAAGACAATTTTCAAGCACTTAAAAAAAAACTTTGTTGAATTCGCTCTATTTGACAAATTTGAATTTCTGTTTATTGAACTCTCAGTTTTTTGCTGAGTAAAAACAAAAACATTTTTTTCATTTCTTATTTTAAAAAAAAGTTTTTTTTTTCTTTTTCATTGCAATTTGCATCAAACTATTTTTGCAACATTTATTTAACTTTTTTATCATTACACTTGCAGAAATAGAAATAAACTTTGGAACGATTATGTGTTACTGTCATCGTTGTCACAAAATGAACTTTGATGATTTCAGTGAGAGAAAATATGTCAGAATCAGAATCTGAAATGGATGATGACAATTTGGTAGAAGAAGATGATGAAGATGATGATATGATATCTGAAGAGAAAATGGATCAAGTTTAATTTAAATTTTTTATTTCAGTTTTTTTTTTTTTTTTGTTTAAGTTTGGTTAGTGTTATGATAAGATGAATTTGTGCCAAATAATTTTTCTTTTTTGTAAAATCAAAATAAGCAAACAAAAAGAAGTTTTAAATGTAAGCTTATTTTTTATCGAAATCTCTATATATCATTAGAAATGGTTGAGTTTATGAAAAATAATTTTGTCAAAGTAACTTATACATAAAATCAATAAGTAATAATTAATTAAAATGAAATACTGCTAATTTTAGGAATATCTTTAAGAAAAAAAAAAAAGGTGACAGTTATGATATCATTTTGATTTTTAGGATAAGCCTACTTTGTCGAGCAGTTCGTCAAAACGTGATGACGATGAGTCACACTACTTGACTATACGTGATGAGAAGAAATATCAAAGTTGTCAGAAAAGTTCACAAATCGATCGTATAAGTTAGTAAGAGTGTTCCGATTGTCCAAGACGATTTCAACGTTTTCCGCTGAAATAATTACTAATTATCTGACTGAACTGTTCGATATTGATGTCACTGATAAACGATGAAATGTTAGGGAGAAAGAATTAACAGAATAAATGAATGAATGAATGAAACAAAAAGAAAGAAATTTGTTGCAAAGTAATGTCAACATATTAGGTCACGTTATATAACGTAAAAGAAATTTGTTATAGCGTAATATTAAATATGAAAACACGCTATATAATGTAAAAGAAATCTATTACATCGTAATGCCAAATATGAGGGTCACATTCTATAACGTAAAAAAAATTTGTTAGCTTAATATTAGATATGAAATCACGCTCATGACGTAAAAAAAAAATTGTGATAGCGTAATATTAAATATGAGATCACGCTCATGACGTAAAAAAAAATTGTGATAGCGTAATATTAAATATGAGATCACGCTCATGACGTAAAAAAAAATTGTGATAGCGTAATATTAAATATGAGATCACGCTCATGACGTAAAAAAAATTGTGATAGCGTAATATTAAATATGAGATCACGCTCATGACGTAAAAAAAAATTGTGATAGCGTAATATTAAATATGAGATCACGCTCATGACGTAAAAAAAAATTGTGATAGCGTAATATTAAATATGAGATCACGCTCATGACGTAAAAAAAAATTGTGATAGCGTAATATTAAATATGAGATCACGCTACATAACTCAAAAGAAATTTGTTACAGCGCAATGTTAAGCATAACTTCACGCTGTATGACGTAATTTCACATAATGAGTTATAAAAAGAACAATTACTTATATTAGACGTCTAAAAAAAAAAGTCACGTAAAAAATGATGAATCCATAATTCATTATTTTATGATACAATCTTCAATTCATTTCCAGTTAATATGAAATATCAAAATAATTAGTTTAATACTGAAATTACAGAATTGCAAGTTGTAAATTTCTGCACCAAAAAATTATAAAGTAAAAGGATTTTGACTGATTTCTTTATCAATAATTATACTAAAATTGAATATTTAATTTTTACTAAGAGTGATAATTGTATTATTAAAGTAAAACCTAAGTGATAATTTTATCATTAAAGTAAAAGACAAAGTGATAATTTTATCATTTAAGTAAAAGCCCAAGTGATAATTTTATCATTAAGGTAAAAACTAAGTGATAATTTTATCATTAAGGTAAAAACTAAGTGATAATTTTATCATTAAAGTAAAAACCTAAGTGATAATTTTATCATTAGGGTAAAAATCTAAGTGATAATTTTATCATTTAAGTAAAAGCCTATGTGTGATATTATCATAAGAGAAATGAAAAAGAAATTATTATCATTCAAAATGAAAATTTTTTCTTCTTAGTTTATTTTTAGTAGCCTTTTTAAAAATTAAATTCAACATTTCTTCATTCATCACTAGTATTTTAGTGAAAAGTAATAAAACATTTACACGAACTAAGCTACTTTTGCATTGTTGGAAGGAATTTCTTATCCTTTACATTCTTTTAATTATTTATTTCAAATTCAATTGCTTCAATCTTTTGAACAGAAAATTTCATCGATTACATACATCAAAAGATTAATTCTGATTATTTTCTTGTTTATAACAAATTTAACTTATTTAATTTCAATTTAAAATTATTATAACAATGATAAAGGACAATTGGCTGTTGAAAGATTAAAAATTATTTGATTTTTAATTTGCATAAATATCATTCACCAATCAACAAATGTATTATCATTTTCTCATCTTTGCTTGTAAAATCCATCTTTCATTTTAATTAAACACCTGGAAACACCTGTACAATTTGTCGTTTTCAACTGTAAAAGATTTCATATGAAGTTGAAATTCAATTTTTGAACATCTGAAAAGTTTTTTTGTTGACAATATTTAAAATATAATTTCATTTTATCTATTAGATGAAATAAATATCTATCAAATAGCGTTTATGTTGTAAAAAGTGAATAAGCTATTAATTAAGATTATTGAATTTGAAAATATAAAAATGACGCATGCATTTTAGTGAATGGCAATGAATAATTGCGTTCTTTTGTTTGATTATAAAAAAAAATTTTTTTTTGTTGTTGTTATTGTTATTGTTGTTTGTTTGTTTGTTTGTTTGTTTAACTTTTTAATAAATAAGCTTTTGAGAATTTTTCAAGAATTTTCATTTTCAGAAGGCAAATTGCACTGGTCATTTCAATAAAACAGCCAACAGCCAATAGGAAAAGTTTGTAATATAATAATTTAATCAAAATTTATTACCTTTAATATATTTATTCATTTTCACATTTTACTATGAATAAAAGAAAAAATGAAATAAATAAATAAATAAATAAAAATGCAATCATTGAGATAATTTGACAGATACTATAAATTATTAAAAAAAAAAAAAAACAAACAAAAAAAAAATGATAAAAGAAGAAGTGAAAACATTTTATTTTTAATTTTAATTTGATCTAAATTTACACTGAAAAAGAAAAATCGCATTTATACTTTTTTTTTTTTTTTCTATTATTTCAATTATTCAAATTTTATTTGAACATATCATTTTATCTTCTTTCTTCTAAATTTCTTATTGAGCGCTATGATTTACCTAATATTTTAAATGTTTTAACCATCACTTCATTTCTACCTTTTATATTTAAATGTTATCTTATTTTTATCTTTTCTGTTTAATGTTATTTCATTTTTTTATTTGTTATATTTAAATATCATTTCATTTTTACTCATCATGCTTAAAAATTATTCCATTTTTTTTTTAATTTGTTAACGTCATTTATATTCTAAATTATTCTCATTAAATTTTTTTCTTTTCCAAATATAAGTGATGGTTTAAATTTCTAACTAATCTTTAAACTTGATTATAATTATTTAATTTTTAGTTAATTTTGAATTGAATTGAAGTGAAAGCAAAATTTTATCAGTAATAGTTAAAATTTTTGCTCTGAAAATTACCTGTTACATTAAATGTGTAATTGAATGACAACAGATAATTATAATCATTGCTAACAGCAACACTTATTTATTTATCGCGTCATGAGTTTAAATTTCAATCTAATCTTTAAACTTGTAAATTTCATCGGTCATTATGGAACTAAACTTTGTGCATAATTCTGTGGTCATCATATATAGATATTTTTATTCTTAAACCATAAATATTTATAAAAAATTAGCCAAATATAAAAGAAAAAAAATAATCAAAATTTTGCATATTTAATTATTTCATAAAAAAAATTATGCCTAATATTGCTAATTAAATAATATTATAAAATTATATGTTTTTTAAACATTTGATCTTAACTATTTTTTCAAATGAGAAATTCAAATCCTACTTATAAAAATTGCAGTTTGATTTTATAAAAGTAGATTTTTTGTGAAATGCTAAATCAATTGTTAATTTAATTTCTGAATTAAAAAATTAAAATAAAGTTATTTAGCTTACCATTTTTTAATTTTCATATTGTTTTTGTGCTAAATTTGGTTTTATTGCAAAAAAGAAAATTTTGTAAAATTTTATTTGTAAAATTTATTTCTATGCTAAGAAGCAGAAAAAAAGGAAATTATATTTATTTATGAAATGCAAGGAAAGCAAAAAGTATTGCTATTCGGTTTTCCGATTACTATGAATTGAAAAAGCAGTAAATTAGATTTTCTACGACTTAATGCTTACTTATAATTAGTTTTTTTTTTTTTTTTTTTTTTTTACTTTCTTTTTTTTCCTTTATAATTTATTTTTTTTTTTTGTATATTATCCATGCTGTTTATATATTATAATATTGATATTTAACTTTTATTTAAAAAAAAAAAAAAGATAAATTTTTCCAATTTATTTGTTTGTTTGTTTGTTTTTGACATTCTATTCAAAAACAATCATATTGTCAAATTAATTTAAAGTCTTAACAACAATTATATCATAGAATTTTCATTATTTTCATATTTTTAATCACTTATAGTATTGTTATTCCTTTTTTGTTTATTTATTACAAAAATTGAATTAAATATGAAAATTTTTTATTGTAAAATAAACAAAACATAAATTTATGTGATAACATTAATAAATTACCTATTTACAGGTAAAATGCATGCTGATAGTAAGCTATGTATAATGCTACTGATAATATCTGTTAGTTCGGGAAATTTGTTTAATGATAATCAAACTATTGTTGTTAGAGCTGGATCAGCTGCATATCCACGTTATTTACGCAGGAACTTAAATGGTCAGTTTTTTTTTTTTTTTTTAAAAAAAGAAAAAAAAATATTTTTTGATTGTTTTTTTCATTTTTGAATATTTTTGATTTTTTTACCTTTTTTTTTTTTTTTTTAGATTAAAATTGAATTTAACAAATGACAAATGAATGAATGGTTTAATAATAAGCTTTTTTTTATAAATTCTGATAAAAAAATACTCCAAAATGCTTATATGTATGTTAAATCAATGAAAATGACAAAATTTTATTGTGAAAAATAATAAATTAAGAAGAAATGATTAGTTTTTATTAAAAAATTATTATCACAATTTATCATTTCAAAAGATTAATTATCATTAAACTTATCTGCAAGCATTGAAAGAGGAATATTTTGCAGGTTGTTCACCAGATGACATTATGTCACATTGTTTAAAGTCAAATGATCGTTACGATGAATGCACGCGAGAATTATGCAGTCGTTGCATTCTTCAAGCATCCGTATTAAATCCATTTGGTATTGTTTATGTAAACATATCGATTATTATTTATTTATTTGTTTTTCTTTCTAAACTCTTTAATTCTAATTTTTTTTCCTTCTATTTATAAATTTTGAAAAGTTTAAATTTGATAATTTATCAATTAAGAAGTTAAATGTTTACATTTTTACAAAAATATTTTTGTGTTTTTCAGCTGATTACTGTTACTGGATGATGTCTTGCCTTTGTACAGTAACCAGTTGTCAAGATTTATCACAATCTGAGTGTTATTGAAAAAAAGAAAAAAAAAATAATCAATAATAAATATATGAAATTTTAGAAAGTTACAACATAAAAAAAAAAAAAAAAAAACAAAACAGAAAAGAGTAATAATAAAAGTACTGAACACAAGTGTCACTTATATATGACAATTTTTCATCTTAATTGAACAAATATTTGATTACAAAATTTTTGTTTTATTAAACAATAAAAACAATAAACGTTTGTTTTTTTTGTCGTCAATTTATAGCGTAAAATTTAATTTTCTAAATTAAAAATAATAAACTGATAGAAAATTTGAATAGCTTTTCCAGTAGATTTACTTCTTATAATTTAAAATGTTTCTTTATTAATTATAGAAATTATTTCAATTAGTTACTAACAAACAGTTAATTTTATTAGAAAAGAAATTTAATTTTGACTTACCTGTAATTTCATCAAAGTTTTTATGCACAGATTTTAAATAGTAAACGATTGAAGTAAAAAATTTCTATTTAAAAAATAAGAACTTATTATAGATACAATAATTACTAAATACAGCGATTATTTTTTGTATTTACCTCAAAAACTCTTATTTTCTATGCATCTATAGTTTAATTTATCAGAAGTAAAAAAAAAAAAAAATTGAATTTTATTTATCAATTTGCCATTAATATTTTCTAATTGTGTGACAATAATTAAAAGTATATTCAATTGTATGTCTAACGTTATTTATCATCAGATGATTATAATTATTATCATTTTTACTTAACATTTACATCATAATTAATATAAAAGGTACGCTTAAAATTACACGTTTTATGTGACATCTGTTATTAATTCGAAATGATTAATAAGTGATTCTAAATTTGAACAAAAAATATACTGAAGAGTTGTTAACTAATAATTTGAAAAAATAACTGCTACTCTCTTTAAACTATCATTTATGGAAGAAATTTACTAAATGTTGCATTTTGCAAAAATGTTAACATACCTTCAATAATTTAAATATAAATAATATTTGAAAAAAAAAGAAAAAATTTTTTTTTAAATTCAATTATTTGAAGTTTTTCTTTTTTTTTTTTTCGATTCTAATTTTGCAATAAAAAAAAAATAATTAAAACAAAAGACTAAATTCTATTTATTTATTTATTTATTTTTCTTTGCATGAACAGTTTTAGTGTGAAATTTCCAATTTTTGAATTTTTATACGAAAACAAAAAAGAGAGAAAAAGAACAGAAAAGGAGAAAAGATAATGCACAAAGATCAAAAACTGAAATAAAACTTTGAATAGTTCGAGAAATTGATCAATGACAAACAATAGAAGTATCCCAAAACAGAATCAGTAATATTTGCATGAATATTCTAAAAGTATTACTAAAGATTAGAATGATAAGCAAATGAAACTTATTTTATAAATCGATCTCTTTGACATTTGCATGAAAAAAAAAATATATATATATTGGTGACAATTAAGAATTTCCATAGCATAGAAATTAAAGATAGAAATCTTTAGTCAAATAAATATTCCTGGATGTATATATTTATGCTAAAGTTAATTAAAATATAACTGTTTTATAAGATTTGAATTTATTTGAAATTGCAAACTAACATTAATGAATGTCTGCTGGTAATAGAATAAATTTAAATTTAACAAGATGAAAAAAAAATTAAAAAGAACCAAATTAATAACAAATAGAGAAACTAACTGAGTAATATTATATAAATTTTTTTTTTCTTATCTTAATTAAACAGATTTAATGCAAAACTTTTGCTATATTTGCTCAGTTCTGTGGAATTTTTAACTTACTAATTTCTTTTGATCATTTAACTAATCTTTTTTTCATTTTTTTTTTTTTTTACGTACTAAATAATATTACTGATAGAGGTAAATGATGAAAAATGTGATTTTCTTTTTTCTTTTTTACATTTCAATTGGTTTACATATACAAATACTTTCTCGAATTTTGCATCGATTTATTACTTCTGAAGAATTCAATGATATTTCACTTATGGTAATACTTTATTTATTAAAATATAATCTCTCGAAATAGGAATAAAACAATCCGATAGTTTAACCAAGCAGTTAAATCTTTTTTTTTTTTCTTTTTAATATAATAACTTAAAAGTTTATCTTAACTTAAATGACTTCACTTATCACTTTATAATGAATTAATATTCAAATTATAAAATTTGAATGATATTTTAAAATTTGTTAGGGAATTTCTTAATATTTGTCACCATGTAATGATGCAAGAAATCTTTTAAGATGTAATTCACGAAGTTCCATTTCTTTCTGAAGCACTTGTTGACGTAATATTTCGCTTCGACGTTGCAACTCTTCCCAAACTTGTTGATACATTGGTGATATTGACAAAGCTGCCGGTGTCACCTGCTAATCAAATTATTTAAATTAATTAATGCAAAATTTTAAAATTAACAAATATTACATTCTTTGTTTTCTAAAAGTAAGGTAAAAAAAAATTTTTTCTTTTTTTTTTTAAATCATATTTTAAAGTTACTGATTGTAGTGATAACGACCAAAATTTTTAGGAAACAATTAGACTTTCATTTTTTTTTTTTTTTTTTTTAAATTAACATTTGAAAGATTGGAAAATTGTACCATCGATGTAGAGGATGACGTCAAATTTGAAACGTTTATGCGTGATTCATTGCTATTTGATGCTGCTAATGTTGCTTCAGTGGTTTTCAGTTTTGAATCTGATAAAGGATAATGTTCAATGACAGCGACAGGAATTTGATTACGTCGTTTTGATTGTAACATCTCTGCTGATAATGTGGAAAGCACAGTGGATGATGGTTGACAAAGCGACGACGAATATTTGAATGAAGTTGACGGACTATTATCTGAGTAGAAGGAACGGCATGATCCTCTAATATATCTAGTATAAGGCTTGGCTTAACTTGGCCATTTTAATAAATGAATTAACAAAAATTTACTATAACTTTTGTATTAATATATTTTAATTGAATATTAGTGAAGAAAATTTAATTGGTCATAATTATGTTTTCGATATTTCAAATGAAATTATTGAAATTATTGTATGACCTAATTTTCTTTAAATTTTCAAATGAAATTATATTTATCATACCTGATAGTTCACTTGATTCTCCTTTTCGAATTTTTTTTACCGGTAACGGTGCGATAACTATTTTAGCAGTACAACTACTACTAGAATGTTTCTCGGGAGCAGTTGCTGATAAGGAATTGTTAGCTTGTTCCGATGAGGAATGACCTATTTGATTGTAAATTTTCAAAATTATTTTTAATTTAATTTAAAACCATTATTCGTCGTATCGTTATTATATTCATTTATTAAGTAAACTTAATATTATTTTGCTATTTCGAAGGTATCAGAATAAATTGATAAGCTGTATAAAATGTATTATTTCTTTAATTTTTTCTAAAATTATTTTTAATATAATTTTAAAATGATGCATGCATATTAGTTGTAACAAAATGTATACAACAACGTAACAAAACAATTTTTGTGATTATTTTAAGATTTTACAAAAAGAAAGAGTAATTTTACCTGTAGTGCAAAATGATTTGGAAGCATTTCCAGTCGACGATGATAGTGAAGAAACTGATAATGGGTAAATGTTAGCATTTGTAGTGCAATGAGAATTTTGTGAATTGTTTGAATTACTTTTTCCTAAAAAAAAAAAAAATTTATGTGAAATTATGAAAAGATATGAAATTTGTATGAAAATAACTAGAAAAGTGATATGAATTGTTATATTTGAAGATTAAAGAAAAAAAGAATGATCAATTGATCGATCAATAGATCAATCATTCTGTAAGAAAAAATGAATGATCAATTGATCGATCAATAGATCAATCATTTTGTTTCACTTTCAAACAAAATCAAATTAATCATTTATGCTATTTTTCTTACCTGTTGAAAATGATAGCAAAAATTCGGTGGATTTTCTCTTCGTAGATGTAACATTTTCTTTGAATTTTTTCACATTTTCCATACTTATTACACGATAATTACATCGTACTCGTTTAAATGATATTTCATTTTCGATTACTGCCATACAATTAACCCAAATCCATTGATGTGATTTTGTTCGTAATCGATGTGATCTTATCTGATAAGTGCCAAGTTCCATTACTGAAAAAAAAAAAATAAGTAAACAAACAAACAAGGAATATATAATCAAACTGATAAATATTGTAACTGATAAATAATCACTTATTTCACATCCAGAAATATTTTCTTTTAAATTTTAATTTTTACAATAAAATGAAATTACATTGTGTATGATTTTCAGCTACTTGTAATAAATCATTGGTGTGAATATAATCATAACCACTTGTGCCAAGTAAATCAAATCGACTATAACCTAATAATTGACTGAAAATAAACACTGATAATTTATTTACATATATCAAGATTTTCTTTTTTCGAGTAATAATTTTTATAGAGAAATCATCTTCTTTTTTAAATTTTAATTTTAAGAAAACGAAATAGTATATTATTCTCAATGTTAGAGAGATTTCGTTTGTTTTTCGATGGTTTTTCTTTTTTTTTTTTTTTAAATGAAGTATATCTCAATTTCTTAATTCAGTCAAACTTTCCTAATTCAAATAAGTAATAATTATTGCCATTGAAATAAATTAAAATTCATTCAAATGTTACGGTTAAAAGTTTCACTTCTCTCTATGATAATACTGCCTTATCAGAAAGTTTTTAGAGATAAAAAATTACAGCTAAATTTTAATGGACTGTTAATTATAAACTAAATTACTGATAACTTTTACCATCCTTTAGCATCAACACAAACAAATTCGGTATTATAAATTATAGTGAAATTGGCATTTCTTCGTTCCCATGAATTGATCATTTCCAGTGTTACTTCTGATTCTGGCCGATTTGATAACGGTATAATGACACCAACAAACCGGAGAGATTCATTCACTTCTTCCTAATATTGAAATCTTTTAGGAAAAAATGATTAATAAAATATCAAAATTGCTAGTTTATGAATTTTAAAATCAGATATATTTTGATTGGATGATGTAAATTATCAAAGAAAATGTTGAAAATTATGTGTATGAATTTTTTGTATAAAAAATAAGCCAAAAAAAAAGTTTAAAAAACTTTAAAAATATAATATATTAGTTTCCTTATTTTATTTCTAACTGAAAAATTAAAAAATTGATGAAAAATTTCACAAATAAAATGTAAACGTAATCATAAAAATTAAACTTTCCCATTTATTAAAAAGTAGTTTTTGCATAATATGAATATAACTTCAATTTAATTCATAATATTTTCATATTTAAGCAATAAAATTTAATATATATTAATTCGGAATAAAATGCATTGATTTCAAATAAAATAAAAAGTATTAATTAATTGAAAGAAAAAAGACTAAATTAAAAGAATTTGTTTAAAGTTTTATTTAAAGTTTTCAGAAAAAAAAAAAAAAAACTTTGAAAAAGAAATTTTACAGTGATTGCAACAATCTTTTTTTTGCTCTTATTGATTTCACTTTCTTCAACTTTATCCGATATGCATAAATCATCGTTATTATGCGTTGTTTTTTTTACGTAACCAATGACTAATAACTGTCGACGCAATTTCTTCGTTGTGACAGTTTCCTGAATGATAGTACTATGCATAGTGGTACCATTTGGTACCGAATGTAACACCTCGGTGGATATGGTTCCACAAAAGTTTTCTGCTGATTTGTCATCTAGTAAATCGAAGAAATTCGCTCCTTGTAATTCGCACATCTGAAAAATTCATTGCGTTTTTTCTTTTTTTCGACGGAAAACTAACATAATTAAAAAGTAATCCAATTATTAAAAGTTTTCAGAAAAAAAAAAAAAAAAACTTTTTTTCCTAATAAATTCGTAAATAAAGTTAAAGACTTTTCGACGAAATTCATTAAATAAATTTTAAAGTCAAAAAAATGAACTAAGAATAAGATAAAGAATAATTAAATTTAAATGATCGGTACTAAAAAATTTTCTTTTTAATCTAATGATTTTGCTTACATATTGCATATCAATAGACATTAAGTTTTTGCAATACGTGTCAATGTATAGCTACGTGACACGTGTTATACGTGTTATGTAACTAGCACACAGTTACCATGGCCTATATACTAGTTAATCCATCGTTTGTGTAATCTTTGAAGACTTAAATCTGATAGAATAAAATCTAACATTCATTCTTGGTTTTAAAATCTCTATTTACCATTTTTTAATTTAAAAAATTCTAAGAAAATTGCAATCAAAATGCGGGAAAATATCTATGAATTTCACATGCATATCAAGCAGACCAAAGGTAACCCAAACATACCTGTAATTAATTGATTGCCATCTTGATAACACAGTGATTTATAGTGATAAGAAATGGATAACAACAAGGAAGCAAATGTGAGTATTAAAAATTATGAAAAGATGAAAAGTTAAGAAAGTGTGAAAAATTGTAATAGCAAACAAAATTTTTCTATTCACTGTTGGAAAAAAAAGTAATTAACAAAAGAAAAAAAAAAATCGATTAATCAATTAAGGCATAAAAATCTATTGGCCAACTAGTAAAAAGAAGCAATTTGTAAATAAATGTTTAAAAAATTAGTAAGTATAAATAGCTAAACAGCTTTTTGAAAATAATCATAAATAGTTTGTGTAAACAAATAAATATTGCGAATAACATTTTGTTGTATTAATTTTACGTAAAAACCAAACTGAAGGAAATAGGAGAAAATAGTTTGGCAATTTTATTATTTTCATTGTTGAAAATTTTGCGAGAAAATTTTCTTCCTGTCAATTATCAGTTTCAGCTCAGTTTGTTTGTTTGTTTGTTTGTTTTCTTTTAACTTCTCAGTGTTATAATCTTTTCTGTTTATTTTAATCCTAAAAAATAAATGATTGAGTAAATATGAGAAAGAATGTTAAAAAAAAATTAAAAGTAATTTACTGTATCATCGAAAAGTGTTGCAAAACTTGTAGATGCATGTTCAATATGTCCGGAACAGTGAATGCAAAAAGTTCCAGCTGCCAGAGCATCCATATAAAGTTGAACAATATCCGGAATGTTGTAACCGGTTGTAATGCGTAATTTGGAATCCAATGCTGTACTTGATGCTTCATCACTTGTTGATTCAGCTTGAACTGCAATAATTATTTCAGTTTCGCTTTTCATACTTTAATATTTTAAGATTTATACTCAAATTCATTTTGTTAGCTAACAACTTTAAGCAATAGATTGAATAAATTGTATTAGAATTGCTGATGTGAAATTTTTTTAAATTTCAATTTTTCAACATTTCGTTTTTAATTAATGCAATTCTATGTCATCAGATGATAACTTAAATTATGAATATTTTTCTTTTAAAATTTTCTTATTCAAATGCATTAATCTTCTGATTAAATTAACCTAGTGATTATCTTCTTCGATTGATACTAATTCATTCTAACGTGTTTAACGTATTTCTCAACGTGTAATCTTACGTAGTAATATTTTATTTCAATTAAATGCTATGACAATATGAGTGATACAATAAGATAGAATGAAATAACTAACAACGTTGTTGTTTGAGAAAATTAATTGCGCATTTTAGTACGCTACTTTTATCCATTTTACGATCGTCCTTTGCAACTAATAGTGTTAATTCACCAATTAACTGATTGAAAGTATCTCTTCGTCGTTTTTCACTTTCATTTCGAGTTTTTCTACAAATTTCAAATTCTGAGAAGACAGACAATTTGTTTTTAAAGGTTTGAAATAAAAGAATTATCTAAAATTTATTCCGATCTTTTTTTTTTTTTCTTAATTTTTCTTAAATCTTTAATTACACTAGAACCATATAGACTGTTTAATAATGATATTTCTGCAATTATTCAAAAATCTAATTAGCTTACATTAAAAGTCTCTTATCAAAAACTTAGGATATTATCTAATTCAAATAAATACTTTAATGAAAGAGAAAAGAACGCTGATTTTTCTTTTTTTTTTTTGACACTTTTTGCAAGGATATAAAATTTCATAGCTTTATTAGCATTGATTAATTGCTTAATTGGAAAAATTAGACGAGTATAATTAATTTTTCGTTCTTCTCATATTATTCTAAAACCTCAGTTTTACTTTGAATAGTTTTTTGATGAAAAATTGCAAAAGAAATGAAGTAAATTAATAAATAAATTTATATTATACAAAATTTTAGAAACTAAATTTTCGGCTTGAAAATCAAATACAAACTATAAGTTTCGATAACTGATACAAGTAAAAATAAAAATTATGCACCTTTTCAAGCCTTTTTCGGAAAATGTTGGAGTATTATCACTAAAACTGGAATTACTCTGTGCCATTCGTCATCGGAAATAATTTCTTATCACTTTACGATCTAAAATCAATTTAGAAAAGAAATGAAACAAAGATTAGTAAAATCATTTGAAAATGAAAAATTAAAAAGGTTCATTCAAAAAAAATTAAACAGATTTAGTCACAATAAAAGTATTGCTATGGTTACTGGAATATAAGATAAGGTATCAAAGTAAAAACAAGCAAAGTATCATAGTAAAAATTCAATGTGTCATTCATATTTATAATGAAATTTCAAATTTTAAAAAAGAAATGATAAAATGCTAAATAAATTCACATGAATATGCTACTAGAAAAAGAACAATAAAAATGAAATTTGGTTCAAAGATTGATCTTAAAAATAAAATTATGTCTGAAAAGCTTTACTGCTTTAAAGATGAAAGATATTTGGATGATAGAATCAATAGACTGTCATCATGATCAAATAGCTTTCGTTGGGTAGCTTCTTTACAAAAAAATTAAAAAAAAAAAAAAGAAAATTCTCAAGGTCAACAAGTTACGATTGATGATTAACCGGCGCACTTTGACATATACCGCATTCTGTCATTTCCTTCCCTTCTTCCCTTTCTCCAACTTTCTTTCTTCATCCTCTTTATGTTACATTATTTTCATTTATTTATTTATTTTTTTTTTTTTTTTTTCTGGGAAAAAATTTTCTTTTTTAAAAAATTAAAAAATTTATTTTCAAAATGAAATCGAAAATGAAATCTTTAATTTTTTTTTTTCTAAAAAATATTTGAGAAAATTATTTTCCTCGTACACACACACACACACACACACACATACACATAGGTGGTATTGGAGGTAATTGGGATGAAAAAAGGTAGAAAGTAAGCAGTGAAGCGACAGCATCAGCAGTAATTGTTTGGAAGATTTTCAAGGTCAAAGTTAATACTTCCATCTGTTCCATATACTCTTTTTCAGTTTTTCCGTTTTTTTTTTTTTTTTTTTTTTTTTTGTTTGAAAAAATGCAAAAAAAAAAAAAAAAATGGTTGAAATAATAATGGAATGAAGTAGAATAGAATAGAGTGAAATAGTAGTTTAATTTAAAAGAATAAATAAAATTTAAATTGAAATAAAATTTTTACAAATTGCTAAATATGTTATGCGATAAAGTAAAATAAACAAATAGGTATATAGGAAGGAAAATGTTTTAAGATAATTAATTATGCACAAAGGAATGTCATCCATGGTAATTAGTAATTAATACTATTAATGATTTATGAGCGTCTTAGTAAGATGGCAAATGCAGTTATAGAATTATTTCAAATAATTCAAAATTTTTAAAGGAATTTATCACTTCACTGTAAAATTTAACAATAATAATGAAAAATTAAAAAGTGCAGAAAAAAAATTAAAAATTGCTGAGGAAAATTCATCTTTTACGCTCAAATGAGAATTTGTGAAGTATTATAATTCGGTGATAAATTTAGCTGAAAGAATTTTTCTTTCTTAGAATTATATTGTTTTAAGATTATTCAAAATTAAAATATAATGAAAATAATAAACTTAAATTAGTATCAAAGAATTATGTCTCACATAGATCAAATTTCTCTATAAGAACGACTGAAAATGTCATAAAATGTCATTCTCACAAACAGTTTTAGAATAAATCATATGTAAGTATCAGGAAATGTTTGAAAAAAATGTATAATCGATTAGTTGTTGCACAAACCATGTTGCTATGAATTAATAATGAAAATATAGGATTGATTTCAGTGAATTAAAATATGGAATTGAAAATTTAATTTTAGTTCCAATTATTAGATCACATGTACTTTTTCAGGTGTACAATAAAATTGTGCAAATTGTCATATGAATAAGATAATTCATGGCGTACATGGATGACGACGACGTCATATGAGACATTTCTGTAGAATATATTTATTCATTTAACGATAAATACTGATTATATTAGTTCGAAAACTAAGTTAGGAAATTATTTTAAAATTGAGCAAAAAAAAAAAAAAAAAAAAAAAGAAACGAAAGCAGAAATTGGATCAGAAGATAACAATTATGTAAAGTTATTCTATAAATAGCAAATATATCAAATTCGGGTAACTATCGAACGGGCAATTGTTATTTATGTGCATATTATTGAGTCAGTTCATCTGTTAATTTTTTTTTGCTAAATTATAAAAATTTGCTAAGTTACAGCAAAATTGGAAATGTGTGATGTAAATTTAATCTTTGATCAAATTGATATAACCTAGTTTAATATACATTAATGAAAGCAGTGAAATTTCTCCAAATATTTAGCTATAACTAATAAGAGAAAATTGAAATCGTAGAATGAGATGTCTATTTAAATTAAAAATAAACGATAATATATCTTTATTTATTCACATGGAATTATCTTAATGAAACATTGAAAATTTCTTGACCTATTTCATTTAATTTGTATCTTACTCAAATTTAAAATGAGAACTAATTTAACCTAATTAAGAGTAGAAAGATATCGTAGAAATTGATAATTGATCGATAAGGGACGAAAGAAAAAATGTATATGAAGAAAGAAGTCAAAACAAAATAGTAATAATTAACAAATATGACAAAATGAATAATTCATTTTATTCAATTTAATTAAAAATTGGAAGCGAAGATTTTCAAACAAATTCACCTAATTATCAAATTGTTTTTTGCATAGTAAATTTCATATTCTGATTAATTCGGCGCTAAGCATATGTGCAATCCTAGATATCCCATTTTAATCTATAAGTTTATTCAATTCCTATCTGAATTCCTTAATGTTTAACTTTCCAAATTATTTTGATGCTTGGTCGATAGTGCTATCTAAACTAATCAAAAACTTTTCGATATAAAATAAATCAATTTTAAAAACTCGAAAAGCTCTGCAAAAGTATAAAGTTTAGGGCAGTTATAATTTGCATAGGAAAAAAAAAAAGTAGAAAATACGATTGTCATTCGAGAGAAGAAAAGAAACAATGCAATTCAGATTGTTGACCGAAAATTTTCCCATCATTTAACAGTTCACAGTAGTTTACGTCAAATAAATAGTTAGCTATTCCTTACTCCGATATCTTTCCCGGGATTTCCTATCATCGAGGACGAATTTATCCACCAAATGATAAATTGATCTATAAATTTCAAAATAGATTATCTCTTACAACGATAGTTGGAATACGGTATTTTGATTATTTTGGTCAAAGACTGAAAGTAACAGTGATAATATGACAATATAAGAGAGACAAGAGGTTAATAACATTTTGGTGAGAGGGCAGAATGTGTAATGTTGCAATTGGGAGAGGTGGTAGTGATTGAGAGAACGTAAGAGATAGTATTGGCCAAGAGAGATTGAGAAGTAGTAAGAGGTTGTCAGACAGCTGGTAGAGATATTCTATGTTACATTAATGATACGGAGAGTTATTTGACGTAGTTACACTGCTTACTTCCGTCGATTTCACGTCATGACGTTGCATGACGTGAAGGTAAGAAACGCTTCAATTACGTAAAAGTGATGGAGTACCAGCCAGTATGTTAGGGAGTGTTTATTTCTCGCTATTATTTATAATGGACGATCGTTTGTAAACGTCATAAATATCGACTAATGCTTATTTTTCAAAAAGGATCGTTAACTTTTAGAGCGTAATTGTTATTAGGTAGAAGTTTTATTACAAGTAGAAAAGTAAGTAATAAAAGATAGGATATAAACTTTTCTCCTCCTCCCTCCCCCCCCCCCCTCCTCCATATTCTTCCTTATTATTCTTATCTAATCATACTCGATTTATGCCCCCGAAGTGGTATATTGTAATTTAATTTTATTTACGGTTTTTGTTTTTCAATGCTCATTTTCTATTAGTTTGTTGGCACTTATTATAGCTATAAAAGACATCGATTTCAGTCATAAATCAATTATAGCTAACGAAAGAAAAAACGCGACATATGACTGAAAGGGACTGGTTATCATCTGGAAAAGATGTAGCACTCGATGGTGGAAATAATATCGATATCAGTGTTCTAGGACAAGAAAGGCTTCCCATGGAAATAATATCTGAAGATAGGTCGCTGGAAAGGTTTGATTACTCTTGCTGGTAGTTTTTTCTTTTTTTTTTATTTTATAAAAGTTAATAAAGTCATTTATAATTAAAATTAGCTATTGATATGATTGCTCTTTCGTTCTTTGATCTTTCAATATTTAGTAATGTTATTCCAGTCTTGAGCATTTAATAATATTGTTCATTTATAGCTTGCCCAATTCTTCCGAGCCGTCAGATTTGCCGATACATCCAACAAAGTTAAATGTACTGTCGATCGCAATCGCAGAAAAAGATGATCCAAGGAAATTTCGAATTTATCGTTCTTTGAATTGTGAACCGCAAAGATCTACGATATATTATCGGTGTGCAAAGTGCGAGTCACTCGAAAAAAAAGCCTTTGGTAGCTAGATTTAATATAAATATATTCACTATAATAAATTGCAGTAAACGTTGAAAATTTTGAAATAATAGCCAAGTATTTTTAATGCAGAAATTTTTTTTTTTTTTTTACTAATTAATTGTTATTACTCATTTTCATGATTTTATTTGATTATGGATACTTGTCTTGTCTCCATAATATCAATTAAAGGTGGTGTCCGATCAAGGCGTTACAAACCGTATGTGAAAACACTGCACGGGAAACTGGTTGGAAATGCACATCCTGAGCATCATCCCGGCTGTCATGCAGTAACTAAGGAAATTCAAGAATTGCAAGAAATGGATCGTGCTTGCAGAGCTAAGATTAGAGCCAATTATGTGTCAAACAGGTCTCCACAAAAAGTCGTTAGTCATTTGAATCTGTTTGCTTGTTGTTCCAATACTGACTTTCAGCTAGAGATAGGATTAATGTTTGACGAAGAGAAGTTGTTTGAGAAAGAAAAATTTTCATGTTCAAAAATTCCATCTTTAGTCTATTCTGATCTTATTGTGTGCAAAGTTACGAGTGCATGCAGCAATATTTTACCCTTGATGCATTCCATCGAAGTATG